AGGGCTTGATTTAGGAATCAATTCTTAAGGATTCAAGCAACCTCGATGTAAACAATTCAATAAATATTAAAATTCCTCTTTTATCAAAGAAAGTATCTGCCCTGCTGTATATATAGTTATATGTCAGTTTTAAACTGGAAATAGTTCACTTGCTAGAATTTCTGTATTGTGACTGTTTTCACCTTAATAAAAGCTGTTAAAGAGAACTCCTGGGGAAAAATTACTTTCAGTTCTGGCAGCTATCAGAGTTCTGATCATCCCTAAGCTAAACTTGTATTTAGCTTGGTAGTAAATAGGTGCAATTTGTTCCTGATAAATTACTTCCTTTAGGAGGTGAATTGCAAAGCTTTGCACTGGCTACAGTTTCCAGGATCATACCTACATTATGTTTTGAAATTATGGATGCATGGGAGTCATTGTGGCTAGGCTACTTGCAGGCACATTCAATCATCTCCAGTATACATACTGTAAAGTACATGCATGTCTTGAAACCGGAAAACACAGATACACAATAGATTAATTTCTTTAACTAGATCCTGTACTTTATCATCATCTTGGTTTTGATGTGGAATTTCCCATTCAAATATGTTTGTGCTACATTTTGCCAGTATATAATCTCTACCTTGGCTGTGGGGGAGAGAATGAAGTTTTATTCCAGAAATATGGACAAACCTTCTGAAGGCTAGATTATCTCTCTAGGCTTTTCTTTCTTCTCTGCTAATTCTTGCCTTCATGAGTTGTTCCATGGCATCTCTGTTTGAATGAGGGGCACTCTTGTCTGATTTAAATTGTTCATTGTTCTCTCTTCCTCCTCTTGCTCTCAGCACAAAATCTAACCATAGTGCACAGTTCTGCCTTCAGTGGCTTTTGTGCACTCTCTCCCCTCCATACTCTTACATTCTCTAGTTTGAGTCACTCCTTAAACGCAACTCATTTCACAAGAGAAGACCCTCTTGGCTCACAGGGCAGGATATGCAGGAGTATGGGGAAGAGACTGATTCAGAGTATAATTTTCCCTCAAGTGATAGCTTATGCTGGTTAATATTTATTGACTGTGTGTGGTTGATGTTTCTACATCTGTATTCATATTCTAAGGATGTATTTATTTACTCTCTGAATATTGCTGATCTTGCAACTCAAAGAATTGATGGTGAAGAGCTCAAAAACATTCAGAGGGAGAACAGTTATGTTTCCAAAGGGTTGAAGCAAAAAGTAAAGCCCTACTAGCGGCTGGCTGTTTTATGCCCCACTGAAGTTATTCCAGTTGCTATCATACATCTAGTAGATTGGCCAAAATCCAAATGGCTGGGAGCCTGTCTGGCTGGAGCTGGCAGCTGTAACAGGCTGGTGGAATTAAATCTATGCCACAATATTTTAAGATAGAGGCAATGACAGTAGTGTAGTAATGTAGGCATAATGCAACAGCTACAGTATTAGGGTAGGAGGGGATCTGACAGCAAAAGAAAGAAGCAATCAGAAGGGATGAAGAAAGACGCTTAATGGTACCTAAATAAAAATTGTTTGTCATAAACACAACATACTTAATTGAACTGAAAAAGATTTAAATAGAAAAGAGGGAGAAACTTCTGGTCCTCCAGAATTTACTGCTATCCTCACTATTGATTGTGCTTGCTGCACTGCTGGGATTAGTCGTTTAGTGGCATCTGAAGAGCCACAGACTCTCCACTCCCCCCATCCCCACCCCAATATAGAGCATCCACTCTGAGCCAATAAGGTTGTGAGTTTGGCAGAGAAATTCATGGCAGGAAAAGACCTTGTAACAGTAAAGCATGTTGGAAAACTAAGGCTTCTCATTTAGTTTAAATGAGAAATTGAAATTTACAGGCAATTGCAATTGTCAGTCAAGCCATGTAAAAGTGACACCCCTGAGAAGAATGGCAAACAGTTTGCTTCCTAAATTGGTTGTTATGTTTGAACTTTAATGGAAAAGTCTGAGCTTCTCACCAGTAATCTCTGAAAACATCTGGGTCTTTTTGTTGGCTGTTTGAAAATTTAATGAATTTTCCATTTAAGGTTCATTTTGGAGTCACATTTTGGCCCAGCATTAATACATTACTATTATTCCAGTCATCTTTTGGCATTATGGCTTTTAAAAGGTCTTTGATGTGGTTTCTGAGTTATTTCCACCCCCAACATGTGCCTCTCTGCATTCCTATAACTTTGCATGTATTGTGAATAGCTTCCAATGTACATTAGCAGAGAGGTACTGATAAGGAGGAAACCCTCCTTCGTGTTTCTCTCTGAAAGGGAGTAGTTAATGAGGTCGGTTTTCTGAATTAGCTTGATATATAGATGATGGGTGATGGTGTTTGGGGGGTTTTTTTGCACTTCTTTGAGGAATACTTGCACCATCCTTGCATCCTTCAGGGGCGGGTTTCAAAATCCGTCACTACGTGTTTGCTCGTGGGCGTGCGCAAGCGACACTTCTGCGCAGAAGCGTCCGGGCTTGTGGGGGCAGCCTTCCGCCGCCACCGCTACCGGTTCGCCCAATCCGGGGTGAATTGGTAGCAACTCACCATTGATTGCCTTCCATTCTATTGGCCTCTGCAATGTTTAGCAGATGTGAAGACTCAAAGAGATTGTTACAGATCCAACTGAATTTATAAATCAACTCAGTTGATTACAGGTAGCCCTTGATTTATGGCCAGAATTGAAGCCAAAATTTCCATTGCTAAGCAAGACAATTGTTAAATGTCCCAATTTACAATCATTTTTTGCCATGATTGTTAAACAAATCAGTACAGTTGTTAAATGAATTGTGGCTGTTAAGCAATCTGACTTCCCTCACTGACTTCGTTTGTCAGAAGCTCCCTAGGAAGGTTGACAATGACAATCCCAAGACTCCTGGATGCTGTAACTGTTGTAAATACATGCCAGTTGCCATGAACTTGAAATGTGATCTTGTGACTGTGGGAGATGCTACAATAAGTGTTAGAACTGGTCATAGGTTACTTTTTTCAGTGTCGTTGTAAGTGTGAAAAGCCATTAAAGAAATGGTTGTAAGTCAAGGACTACCTGTATTCATCCAAAGAGTTATATTCTTGGAGAAATTATAGAACTTCAGGATTTTCAAGCCCTGATTTTCATGTACTCATCTGGAATGCATATTGCATGGAACTGGTTGATTGACATAACAGAGAAAATGCAGTAGATTTTTATTCAACTAAATAATATGATTATACACAACTAGTGTATTGTGTAGAGAGCGAAAGAAGAAAGATTGTCTCCTCAAAATGATCTCACCCAAGTAAATTGCCCATGCAGGATTATCACTCATTCTACTATATAGTTGCTATATCTGTTGCAGGGCACCTAAGGTGTATTTTTGGCTTCACCATTGGTCTTGCACCTTCTACCTTACTGTCATTCATTGTTTCAGTTTCTACTCCTTTTAAAGTTTTTTCCCTGGTTTTTCCAAACGTTGTTTGCTTGGAAAGCTGCAAAACCACCTGTAAATCAGCCAATAGATAAATTGCTCCCAGTTGTATATCACAAAATGTATGGGACTAAAATGACCTGGAAAAAGATTATTAAGTATGATCCCTTATTCAATTAGGAAACTTGAATAGGAACTACTGAAATAATCCTGAAACAATAGTAAAACAATATTTACATAGTTTGTATTGGTTATAACCTCTGGAACAGTAAAATCCAAGTTATAGCTTTCTCTGGCAATTCTGTATCATTTAATTTTACATTAATGCTGATATGGGTGATTGAGCAGCAGTTCAAAAATAAAATAGGAAGAGGAAAGCTTGACTGTTTGAAAGTTTGCTTAAAAGAAATAAAAAATGCCCCACAAGGACATGGAATAAAAAATGCCCCACAAGGGCATGAGAACATGGGAACATAAAATATTAATTTCATTAATTGCACAGGAATAAGATAATTTAGAAGTTTTGCTTGAAGATACTATCTGAGATACAGGGGAGAAATCTTTCAGAGACCAATTTCAGGAGGAAAGCATGAAGAAAAAACATGAGACACTATTAATCTATCACATATATAACATGTTGAAAGCAGATTGGAGAACTTATTCTTCTTCTTTTTAGTTTTCCAACCTGCTGGATGTATTTACATATTTGTAGGCAAATCCTATAAATATGCTTGACCTATGCTGCTTCTGGATGATCATAAGGTTAATTTTAATGTTGTTTTATCTGCAGTTGTTATGATTATATCCACCCAGAGTCAGTTATTGACTCTATACAGCTATATAAATTTGAGAGAGAGAAGAAAAGATTATTGTATGAGTGTTTTGTTCTCTTATAAATGGTTATCATAAGGCTATGTATTATTAATCCTGTTTAAATTCATCATCTCCTAACTTGGCATCAATGCCAAGTTAGGAGATGATCAGTGCCAACAATGGCATCCTCCAGATTTTTTGATATTATAACTCTGAGAATTCCTACAAATTTTATTTTCATGGGAATGAAATGCATGGGTTCAAATGATAAGATTTACTTTTTTAAACAATTTATATAACACCCCCCCTTCCATCTCATCAAGGTGATTCTTGGTAACATTCAAAAATGGATCTGGACTAGGCACTAGGAATATTTTGCTAAATGTAAGAACTATATGACAGTGGGATGAAATGCTTCAAACAGTGATGGACTCATTTTAAGCAAAGACTAATATGCCTTTTTCTGGCAGGTCCTCATTTTAGTTTTAAAATACTTGGCCAATAGGGGCAGGTTTCACATGCGCAGAAGCACCCGGGCAGATGGGCGGAGCCTCCCACCGCCACCGCTACCGGTTCACCCTGTTGTCCATGGAAGAAAACACAATATTTTTCAGCCAGGATCCAGAATGAGAAACAATTTCTGAAGCTGCCATTTTGGTGATGCAGATCATTGCCTCTTTTTAGACATTCTGAGCAAATATTTCTGAAATATAAAATATGCTGTGCAGTAACATATGTGAAATAAATCTTCAACACATGACTTCTGAACTCTCTTATTTGTTCATTTCAGCAGAGTTCCACCAACCACCACGAGAGCAGTAAAGAATCCTCAGAGATCATCAGGTCGGAGGTGAAAGGCAAAAGATCTTCAAGCCATGGCACAAGCCACAAAACCAAGAAGTCTGGAAGTGGGAAAAGCTCAATAGGTTTTGGCTCATCCTCATCCAGTGTAACATTTCCACCAGCAGGTGAAGAACAGAAAGAAATAGGAAGAATGGGAAGGGGAAGGTATCAGACTAACATGCTGAATTAGCCAGGCTTTATTAAATGGGCAAGTCTTCTAAATAGTAGATAAGTCTTCATTATTTTACATTACCTTTGGTTTCTCTTAGGGAGGAGGCTTATTATTAATTCTCCTCCTGCTGTGCATTGGCCAGAAGTAAGTCCAAGCAAATTTTCTTTCTTTTCTTCCTCCTCCCCACCCCCCAAATGTTCTAACTCTTAGAGATACAAAGTTAGACTTCAGGGATTGTTGGTAGTCCCAGTAAATTTTCATATGTTCAAATGGATGAACTAGAGCTGATCAACGGATAGTCAGATTTCCATATCTTGCAAAGTTCTTTCCTATCCCTGATGACTATCAGAATACAGATGGATGATACAAGAAAAGGAAACACAACATATATCTATTGTGTAATTCAGCTGTATTTGACTTTTTTTTCCATTTCTTTAGACAAATAGTCCCTGGTTGCCACTCTCCTTTCTTTGACCATTGATAGTGTATTGATATTGTGGATCCATTGCTCTAATTAGTGGTTTTAGGCAAGGGATTATTGCTTTCTCTGTATCTCTGAAAAAGAGATAATAAGTGCTATATAAGTAGTAGCAATAATAGTAACTTAATTCAGTACCTATAGCTAAGAATTTCTACAGTACATATTACAATATATCATATCATATATGCAACAAAAAATGCAATGTGCTCTTAAAAATCCAATTGTTTCTCATGGTAAAGCAAGAATAAGACAACATTTAACTGACATAGTACATACACTCTGATACCATAAAATGGTACAGTAAGGCTCACATCTAACATTCCTCTCTAATTCCAAACATTTTCTATATCCATTACAAGTAACTCTTGGTGAGGGACTGGAAACTCCGTCATTAAATGAAGCAATCACTAAGTGAAACTGTGACTGTGTTTATAATCTAAGTTCATCTTTGCTTTATAGACCCACAAAAATCATATAAATATAAAGATCCAGAGATTACTTTTTCATCACTGTTGTAACTGCAAAAGGCCACTAAATGAGGACTACCTGTATGTAAATAGCAAAATGTGATCCAAATATATTATTAGATCACTTCAAGATAGATTTTATTTATTATATGTAATGGAGCTAAAGATGACAAGGCCCATGAATGCAAATGCATGCACTTACTTCACAAAAGCTAATTTTTAATTTAGTAATGGGATGAGGAATTAGGTAATTCCAATATTTTAATTGTAGCTTTGATTTAATTTAATTGTGATGAGCAGACAGGGAGCTGAGATACATGTGAGAGTTATAGTGAAAACATCTGTCAGCTTGCTATATATTTCAGGATTCTGCTTGATCCCCTTTCAGGTACCTCATGCAGCTCCTTGCCCTTCTCCCAGGATTTTGTAACCTTTCCAAAGCTTGAGCAGCAGCCGCCTGAGGAAGAGAAATACCACAAACCCATCTCTTCATCCTCGTCTTCCGCCCACTGCTCTCCATTGTCTGAAGGGCAGAAAAGTGATGTCTTTGAGCAGAAGGTGATCTTTTCAGGTTTTGGCTCCATCATGCGTTTCTCCACCTCAGCTGTGAGTCAGCAGAGGGGACGGGATGCTTCTCCTGTGGACTACAAGACCTCCAACTCTATTGGTGGCACCCCAAGTGGGAGTGGTGGAGTCAGCAGTGGCAGCAGCCACAAGCGCATGCCGTCTCTTAGCGGGGAAGAAGTAGAAGTCCTGAAAGAAAAAAAGCACAAGACCAATAAGAAAAGCAAGCATGGACCAGGAAGGCCCAAGGGTAGTAAGAATAAAGAAGTGCCAGGTCCCCAACTGGTTGGGACTCCAGCTGCCTCTTCTTTGCCTTTCTCTGGGGGTTCCCTGATCAGTTCCAGCGTCAGTGGGTCTTCACGTTCATTCAGCCATGGATCCACCCTTCCAAGCCTCAGCCTAGAATCACCACTTATGGGATCAGGTAGGTAACATGCTCCTCCTGTGGCCTCTGGTCAGGATGCTACATGTTTTAAAGTATAGGATTTATGATCCTGAGAAAATGAGATAAGAGATGATGCAATGATATATTTATTAGGATTTTTCCTCCTCCAGATTGACCCTGATTGAGAAACTCTTATTAAAAGCATATACAATCAAAAGATGACTGGGAAAATAAATTACGTTAATCCATAATGTGGTTGTTTGGTCTTGGCTCAAGTGCGCCGTGTGAACCAGTGTGGGTTCTAATCAGTTTTACCACCGGTTCGCATTGCACACGCACTTTGCGTGCGATCTCTGCAAAGCCGCAAAACTTGCACTTGCAATCGCTGCAAAGCCGCAAAACTTGAGCTTGCGATCGCTGCAAAGCTGCAAAACGTGCGCTTGCGATCGCTGCAAAGCCGCAAAACGTGCGCTTCACGCAAGCGCATTAGGAAAAAAAACACCTGAGGCATGGCAATCCCCTTTGCCCACCTTACAGCTGACCAAAAAACAAACGAAATAAAGGTAGGTATAGCATGTGGGGGGAGGGCCAAACTGACATTCATAGAGAACCGGTTCGCTCTCCTATGAATATTTCCACTACCAGCTTTCCTGAACTGGGGAGAACCAGTAGCAACCCACCACTGGTGTGAACCCAGTTTTTTAAACCTTAGTTCATAGATTATTGTATGAATCTAGCAAACAGTGATTTAATCTCAGGAGTGCTCTGTTTCTTCCAGCACAAAATCATCTTAGTTTCTTAATTATTTTGTGATTGGCCAAGCCAAACACTACTGTGCTTTTGGTATCACTTATGTTCTTGTAACTCCATCACACCTCTAAAATTGAGGGAAACTTATCACTGCCCATTCTAATGATGTCTAGTGATATCACAATCATATATTCCTATTGCCCTTGAAGGCTAGAAAAAAGCAAGTTTATACACAAAATACACGAAACAAGAAGAATTATCTGTGTCTTATAAATTGTGAAGTACTGCTTTTTCTTTATCCTAGGTCTGGCTCTTCAAAGTTCCTCAGTTGTATGTTGTATGTTCATGTCTATTAACTCTTTTATATTGGATTGTTTGTTTCTAGGCTTATTAATCATGGCTATCTGCATTTCTTAATGCGAAATGAGTGGTTTGCTAGGCAATCAAATAATTCTAAGATGAATGATGAGTTATAGCCTGGATGCTAATGACTCTCAAACACAGTTATCTTTGTAAAGTAGCTTGAAGGGGAGGGATCTTATCTGAATGAAATTTATAGATCCCTTAGATTTTCACATAGTTTGTAGATTCCTCAGTTTCACACAGCTTTTCTCACTTGACAAAGAAGTTCAAGAAGAGATGTGAACAGAAGTTAGCCAAGTGTACAGTATGCTGTAGATTGCCATTTCTGCAATGATCTGCTTGACTTCCCAATACCACACCATATTTAGAACATTCACACAAAAAGCAAATAAAGTATTGCCTCAGCCTTTTTTTTTTAATGAAAGTAAGTTAATATCAAACTATTACTCTACCACCATATTTCACAGGTTAGATAAAGTTCTCCTGCCAAACACAACCATTTTAATTGAAGCCAAAAAGTTCTTCTTTGATGTCAGGGATGCACCGAATTTTCTTCCAATCCTCTGAATTACTCATGTGGTTTTACTAATTGTAGATGGATAGCAAGGTTCTTTTTGAAGAATAGTGGTTTTCTCCTTGCAACCCTGTCATGCACACCTTGGTTATTCTGTATTCTCCCCTGATGGTGATCTCATGAACACTAACATTTTGCCAATGGAAAAGAGGACTTTTATGTTAACCTGGGTTTGTTTGAAGCTTCCCAAAGTATTATACATCTTCCTCTTGATGTGATCTGGGTTGATCGATTATTCTTGGGAATGTAACAATGGTATTGAATGGCCTCCATTGTACAAAATCTGCCTGACAGTGGACTGTTGGAGTTCACACTCTTTGAAAATAACTTTGTAACTATATTAACCTGGTGAACATTAACAATTGTTTTTCGGAGGTCCTCAGAAATCTCCTTTGTTCAAGCAATGCCATACTTCCACATACCTGTTTTGTGATGATCAAAAAAATACTAAATACATTACCCAGAATTTTGTTCTTTAAATAAGACCTCCCACACTCACACTTGTTTATTGAAACACCTGACTAACTTCCCATTCAAATGATAATCCTACTTCAAAAGATTACCTATTTTTGAAGCATCACTATAGGATAAAAGATACTTGTATGTGATGCATTTATTCTTTTAAAGCTTTTTATTGATTGGCTGATACTAATTTTAATTTTTTAATAATTAGCTAAGATTCTCAAAAGCACCCTCATTTATGCCTCATTGCCAGTTTTCTGTTGCTTTTGTAGAATCTGAGTATGCACAACTCATTAGAAAAAGGCGGGCAACAGAATCCAATGAATTCAATTTCTTCCTTTGTCTCAGTGGTCTGGCTGCCAGGTAGACTTATGTAAAGATTGCAGCCCAGTTGATATGACTGCTGTTAATCTTTTTCAAGCAATGCCTGATGCTTCTCCAGCATCCCTACATAAGTTGAAATTGCATGTTTTCTTGACCCTTGAGAAGCTAAAGAAAGCAGGGGGGAATCATTCAGGTAATGAACTCACCTGTTCTTAGGATGATTACTTGTGAACTTTGCAAGAAAGGGTTAAGAGTAAAGAACCTCAAGGCTGAGCATGTTATAGCTCGCTTACTTGGCAACTGCTTTGCCGATATCTGGCTTGCTCTCAAGCACTTCTATTCAGGTCACAGTAAGTAGAAAGAAGAAGAAGAAAAGGGAGGCGGGAAGAATTGGACGTTAGCATCTCCCTGGTTTCCTAGTGACTGCAGCCTTTTACTTTCTCTACTTCAGGGCAGGGGAGGAGCCAAGGAAGAAAAGGAGAGAGAATTCAGGATGTAATTATTTTTCAGGGCGGAGCTGTTACAAACCACAAGCCTTCTATAATCTCAGCCTCTGGCAATAGATTTCCTCCCACCCACCCTTCTTTTCCCTCCCTCTATTGTGTTCAAAGAAAGGGAGGCTTTTTATGTCTGGTGGGTCTGCCTGACAACCACAGTCCTGATTTTTGACATACATTACGCTGGCCTCAGAGTACAGAATCTTCAAGGAAGACCAGTTCTCGGATGACTGAAACTGTAGGCCAAGGCTTGTCTTTCAACGCTATTTGTTGCATGCAGGGCATTGCATCTGAAGTAGCATCCAAACTTGCACTCTGATTAGACGAATGCCAGTATCCATTTAAATGGAAGTGAGGATAGGGGCAGATGCTTTTCTGCTTGCCAAATTCTTGTCATCCTCTTTCTACTTTTTTTTTTAATGCCCTTCATGGTTTGCTGCGTAGGCAGCAGCCATCTGTATGGGCAGAATATTAGTGGAGAGTTATTTCAGATCTGTGCAGACAGGGTAAAGAAGGAGGTGTGGAAGGTGCTTAAGAAGAAATATGTCTCAATCTCGATTAAGATATCTGGACAAGTGGGTTATAGGATGGTTGATTGAATCTATAGGCATAAGGGGCAAGAGAATGTAGTAATCTCTTTTCTGTAGTGTAAGTTATGTAGTAAAAATGTAGGTAAAAACCAGTACCTTGGTTTTTTTTTTCCTTCATCAAATTGCTGCTGGGTGGGCTCAATCTATAAAGTTCTGCATAAGAGAACTGTCTTTGTGTGATGATTAGGTTAAAAATTGTGAGACCATGATTTCTAGTCCTGCCTTAGACATAAACCCAATTGGGTGTCCTTGGAGCAGTCACTTCTCCTAGGAAGGAGGTAATGGCAAGCTATGTCTGTGTGGAACCCCAATTCACATCAATCTTAGATATTTGAGCCAATAGTATGGATGTTGAGAGCTACAATCCAGAACCATGTTGTCCAGGCATCCATTGCCAACAGATACGGATGTCAAAACATTGAGGAATGCTTCTAGTTACTGTTTAGGGCATGTCAAATTTTTCAATTTTCAATTTCCAAACAGTAGAGGTACTCAAAAGTTGTGACATGCCTTGGGGATTGTAAAGGTATTTTGGTTACTTGAATATAATTTAGATGTGCTTTGGTAAGTAACTACATAAATTTCATAACTTCTTTTTTATATTTTGTTTGTTTCATTAATATATATGTATGTGTGAAAAATGAATAAAGTGCTCAGAAGAGCACAAGACAGGATAATCCTTTCAGTTCTTTGAATGAAATGAAATATTTTAAGTTAGCAAAAACAGCACATTGTAGTTACACTAATTCAGCCTTTTTAGAGACATATTTATATTAGTCAGAAACAACAAAGACTTGTACACAAAATGATAAAAAGATTTTCACAGTGGTGTTTTGCATCACAATCAGATCTCTCGGTCTTATCTATTTTTGGATTTCTGATTGATGCAGTTTTATTCAAAACCATTGGCAAGTTGACATTTTCCTTTGAATTATTGCAGATCTGCAAACTGTTATGGGTAGTCTATACCCTCATGGGTGAAAATTCTCATTTTATCCTGACTCCTGGGCCCAAGAGAGCAATTACTTATCTCTGCCACCCCTGCATAGAGGTTCAGCATCTGTGTTCAAGAGTTTTTTTATGTAGGGTTTACAGAAGCAAAATATAAAAAAGACAAGAGTGGTGGGTGCTTCCCCAACCTTCTGCTAGAGAAAAGGAAATCTTGTTTTGGAAGGTATGAAATCAACTTGGAGTTTCATGTATATGATTTGAATCTAGTTAATCACAGCTTCTTCCTACCATAAACATTCTGTAATCAAATGTTGTCTTTCCAGATTGAGCACGTAGAACAGGAAGACAGCTATATGGAGAAAGAGAGTGGTAAATTACATTTGAATATTTCAGCTGCAGCCTAACTCATTTTTCTCAGTTTTCAATGAAAATGGGAACCATGCATACTTCAGCCTTTAGCTCTGCAGATAGGAAATTCTTAACAGATTAACAGAATTGGAAGGGACCTTGCAGGTCATCTGGTCTAACCCCCTGCCCAAGCAGGAGACCTTACATCTTCCTCTACTTAGGATCGAACTCACAACCTCTTGATTAGTATGGATGTCTTTGGGATGGAGTAAAAGGATAATTAGTACCCATGAATGAACCATGGTATCAGATCCTCAACTTTTGTAAACTAAAAAGAGCTAGTTCCTATTCTTTCTGTAAGGTAGTATTATGCCATTTTTAAGAAAGGCTATATCCAGGGGGTTTTAGCCAATAAATAAATAGTTGTAGATATTTTTGATATATACGTTTTAGTACAGGGAGACCATTTTTTAAAACTTTATGTCTATTTTTTTTTAATATTTGCTTTTCTAATCACTAAAAAGTGATCCTGGAAGTATATGCAGATAGAATGTATTATTCATACACCCACATTGCAAAAGTAGAATTGTGCCTGAGATCTTGTGAGTTATGATAGCCATAAAGGTTGTGGGAAATCCTGTATTGTTTTGCTTTAGAGTGATATAGTAGAAGGAAATTGAAGTTGATTATACTATAGCAAGAGTGTCAAACTCAATTTCACTGAGGGCCACATCAGGGTTATGTTTGACCTTGGGGGGGGGGCAGGGGGTGTGGCCAGCTCAACATCACTCGTGTTGGGAGCGCCTGTGGTGGCCTGAACATTCTGCCAGCGAAAACAGGCTCTCGACTCCATTTTTGGCTGCGACAGCCTCCTGCAACCCTCTGCCAACAAAAACGGAGCTCCATTTTCCCTGGCAGAGGCACCATGGGCCAGTCCTTTGCTGTTTCCAGGACAGCCCCGTGGGCCAGATCTAAGCACCCCATGGGCCAGATCCGGTCCCTGGGCCTTGAGTTTGACACCTCTGTACTATAGTAACATTGCAATTTATGAAGGACTAGAAGGGTGTGTGATAGATAGATAGATAGATAGATAGATAGATAGATAGATAGATAGATAATGGATGGAGAGGTAGAGAGGGAGAAAGAGAGAGGGAGCACTTTCATGTAGATTCTGACCTTGTTCCTCAATTTTCTTTCTCTATTCCTCATGATGGAAAAGGAGCATGTTCAGGCCTTAGTCTCTGTTATCTGACAAAAATAAGGTGCCTCAAGCAGCTTTTTCTCAGGACTTCCCTGCTGGGTTTCTTCCTCTTACTGAGCCATCTAGAACCATCCACACACAAAATGGCTAGTACAGTAACCTGCTATTAATTTTTTACCTCATTTATTTTTATGATGAGGAAAAAGTTTTTTAAAATCTTACTCAACACCTTGAGTAACTGTGGAGCAAGGAGAGGACAAATATTGCAAGCCCCCCCTCCCCCCCAGCACTTTAGCTGCAGATGGAGGGGAAGAATTACAGAAGCTATAAAGAAGGAATCTCTGCCAATGAGTAATAGCTCTCCCTCAGCTCCATACAAGAGGCTGCAAAATGGTCTTGATCACATTTCCAAGAGCAGGAATCAAGCCAATATCCATATGTACCTAGGATAAGCCGAAAAATGATGGTGCGCGTCTCAAGATACAGAGCTCAATCTTTTGAATATGCAGCTTGTGATTTGGATCACACCATCGCAACACACCATTCCATTATTTCTGCCACCCCCATAAGCGCTCCTGCCAAGAACTAATAGTTCAGCTTCTCAAAATCTGCAGAAACCCGGCAGCATCTTAAGGAGATAGAAGAACTCTAAATTGCATTCCGTGGTGGAAGAAAAGCATGGAAGGTCCAGCATTTCCTTGATTTGTTATTTGTCTGACCAGGAGAACCTCTGTCTCAGAGCACCACCAACTTTTTTTCCCCATTAGTCGATCACTGATTTCAGATTGTTTTAAAACCTTAGACAGCCTTCTTGGATTTTAACCATTTAGGCCATAGTTGAAAAGAAATTTTCTTACTTCTTAGCATTGAAAAAAAAGCAACAGACCTAAGGTACCATTTCTCAAAGTTAGACATATCTGTGTGGGTAACCCTGCTATTCAAGCTGCTAAGTAACCAGTATTATTGAAATGATACGTCTTTTTTTAATTAAAGTGCAAACAGGTACAGAAAATGCAATTTCAAAGATGAACATGAAATTTCCAGAACGTTTGTGAAGTTTACAACTCAAATAATGTAAGAATGATATTACATCTATTGATTTTTTTTAAAGCATCTTATGAATAATGTGAAACTAAAGTGAGCTCCAAATGCCAAATATATATATACTAGCTGAATACCCGTGCTCTGCTACGAAACTGTGTGACCTGGCTTGATAAATCGACGCTTAGAGTTTGAAAATTAATGAGTAGTTACAATCGGTCTCTCCTCTCCCCTTCTCTCCCTTATGCTGGCCCCACAGAAGCCTTTCCTCTCTATCCCCTTCTCTCCCTCAGGCTGGCCCCATAGATCATCTCCTCTCCCCTTCTCTTTCTCAGCCTGGTCCCACAGAAGCCTCTCCTGTCCTCTCCTCTCCCCTTTTCTCCCTCAGGCTGGCCCCATAGATCCCTCCTCTCCCCTCCTCTCCCTCAAGCTGGCCCCACAAAAGCCTCTCCTCTCCCTCAGGCTCTCTTAGCCTAACCCCTTCTCTCCCTCAGGCTGGCCCCATAGATCCTCTCCTATCACCTTCTCTCCCTCAGCCTTGCCTCACAGAAACATCTCCTATCCTATCTCCTTCTCTCCCTCAGGCTTTCTAGTCCCTTCTCTCCATGGGGCTGGCCCCACAGAAGCCTGTCCTATGCTATCCCATTCTCTCAAGAGTTATTTTCAAGTTGGGAGGGGGAGTAGAACGTCTAACTAATTAGCATCAGAGCGTGTTATAATAATATAGCAAATACTAATGCTCTGATAGTCATTTTGAAAAATACTTTCTTAGTGAGCACCTGGAAGCCAAGAGGAACATAGGTGGCAAATTTCAAGTTTGTAGGCTTTACGGTTCTGGAGTTTTCATGATTAATGCATGAGTGGTTTTTACTTTTATATATATAGATATATTTCTCCCCATATGCTAAAAAAAGACGGTTCATATAGATTCCACTGCCATTGAATGTTAGCCAGTTTTTCCAAGATAAAGGGAAGGCATTTTAATTCAGAGACACTCATGCAAAAGACCTAGGGTTCATTCCTGGCATCTCCAGGTGGGACTGGGAGAAACTCCAGTTTGAAATCCTGGAGAGTTGCAGGTCAATGGAGAAATTGGTCTGACTTTGGTGTAAAGCAGTATCCTGTGTAGATAGTTCTTGACTTATGACAATTGAGCCCAAAATTTCTGTTGTTAAGTGAGACAGTTGTTAAATGAGTTTTGCCACCATTTTATGAGTTTTCTTGCCATGGTTGTTAAGTGAATCTGGCTTGTTGTTAAGATAGTGAGACTGTTGTTAAGTGAATCTGGATTCTCCATTGACTTTGCTTGTCAGAAGGTTGCAGAAGTTGATCATGTAACCCCAGGACACTGCAACTGTCATAAATATGAACCAGTTGCCAAGCATCCAAATTTTGATCACGTGATCATAGGGATGTCAAATAGGGCCATAAATCACTCTTTTCAGCACCATTGTAACTTGGAACGGTCACTAAATAAATTGCTGTAGGTCGAGAACTACCTGTATTCTAATTTTAAAAGATGGGATCGTCTTGCTGATAAACCATGTGAAGTCAAATTTGTGACAAAAGGTGAAGTCATCAGAATAGCATTGCTTTGTCATGGAATGATGCTCAGCAACAAAGGAGAAAATAGGCAGGATTTTAGTGATATGCATTGTGTGTGCAAATAATAATCATATCCTATACTGCAATTTTTCCTTTCTTTGGAAGAACTACCTGGAGCTACTCGTCATTCTTAGTGATAGCTTGGGTGGTCAATCAACATTATATGCAACTTATTTTTTGACTCATACTTGCAGAATAATTTTGTTCTGGTCTTAATCAAAGAGAGGAATGGTAAAAGCAAGAGTGTTTCCAATCAGCCTCAAGACTATCAAAATTCCTTATTTGATATTTGATATTATTAAGAGTTATAATTTGTGCTAGTGATGTCATGACTACTATCCTAAATGTTAGTTTGTTAATTTATGGAATAAGTGGAGATCATATGACTATACCATTGCTGCTGATCAATACCATCAGTCCACATGAGCATGGTCATTGTTAGAGATGCTGGATGTTTTCCAGCAATATCTGAAAAGCAATGTGATCCTAAATCCAGTGTATCTACCTATTATTCAAACAGCTCCTAAAACACTTCATCATTGTAGATAGTCATAAAGGCATAATACATTTTTTAAAAATGAGAAGGGACAGTGAAGAAAAAAGGTTTGTACATCAAAAGCCAAATCACAAAGTTCTTGACAGTTGACAAAGATAGTAGCATATTTTAGAGAAATTTATAGAGTAATGCTACATAAGGCAATACGATGTTGTTCTCAGGTCACAAACACACATTGGTAGTGGCTGTTAGATCAATAACAGATCACAGATCCCCTCTTTCTCATCTTATTCTCTCTTCCCTCCCCATCTTTTTAGTTAGGGCTCAGTAATTGGATCTTTATAGTATTTTATTTATATCATCTAGGTTTTCTACAGTTATATGTTTTTTAAAATATTTTAAGCCCCCCAGAATTAACCCATGGTAAGATTGGTGGTCAATATATTTTATAAATAAATAAGAAAATATGGAAATAATTATGCCTTGAAAGAGTCTAATCTCAACTGATCATGTTCTAGGAACTGGAAATAACGTTGGCAGGTCCTGATAGAATTGTTTCACAAAGGTGAAGGAGAAAAGCAAAGATGTAGACAGAAAGAGGAAGGAAAATGAAACAACAGCTCTAAGCCAACTCAACAACAGATACAGGGGTGTTGTTTTTTGTTTGTTTGTTTCTTGGTGTCTTTATTGTTTTGTCTCAAGCCCTACATTAATATTTTTCATTCAGGGATCTATACCAGTAACAAGGATCCCATTTCTCATGGGGGTGGGTTGCTGAGAACTGTGTGCAGCACTCCCCTCTCCTCTAATCTTCTGGCTCACCAAGGCACCTCATCACTGCCCCAGCTCACCCGCTCACCTTTTGCTGGCACCATCCCATCCTCCTCCTCTGTCTCTACTACCCAGGTAAGGTCTTTAAACATCAGTCACCAACCATTTATGACATCTCTTATGATGAGAGAGCTTCATCTCTTCTCAAATTGCTCATAGTCAAAAAGACCATCCTACTTTCTCAGTAATTATACGTTTGTGTATATTTGTTTAAAAAAAATATGAAATAGAAAGTAACCATACATAACTGATAAACTGCATTTGTGTTTTATTAATAAAAAAATAAGTCATGAATGCTTCTCTTAAAGAAGGAATGAATTAAGTTTTTCAGGTCTGAGGGCTGCATCTCTTTCATTTACATGGGTGCTGTGGGGTTGATGGAATAATATCATTGGAAGGTATATATACATATATGCTGAATTCAGTTTTAACCGTAAGGTGCTAGGGTTAGAAACTAGAAGACGTTGAGTTTTAATCATCCCAGAGCTATAGAAGCCAGCTAGTAACTTCGGGCCTAACCCAGTTCATAGCATTGAAGTGGAACCTTTATGTACACTGCCTTGTAAAAAACAAACATGGGATATAAATCTAGTAGTTAAATAATAAATTACACTGGTAGGCTAAACAAAGGGGTAGGAACCCTGTGATTCAGATACCGAGCATGTCTTCCGGTGTCTAACAGCACTTATCCCATGAAATTCAATGACAATTTAAATTATGCCACTAAACAAAGGTATTATCTTAGCAGGTTTCAAAAAGGAGGCTATTCAGGTAGGTTGTTCCAGGTATTCGTTATTCTATTGAATCAACTCTTTGGCCAGTGGCAGGTTTCAATTCTTGTATAGTTCAGTGAAATCACAATTCACTAGTTTCTGGGCTTTTTTTCTTTTTCTGGCAGCCAGCAGAGAAAAAAAAGCCCAGAAACTAGTGAATTGTGATTTCACTGAACTAGGGCTGCATAATATCTTGGTTTACATAGGTAGAACCTGGCTAAAGAGACATACACATAAAACCTATGAAAAAGAAAGAAACACACACACACACACACATACACGTGATTATTCTTTGAAATGATTATCCTCCTTCTCCAATGATATCATCCAGATGATCCAGGGTGTGCTAGAGCTGTTGCTTTTGGCTTCGTATTTAATAGCATACATTTATTTGTATATATTTACTCCAGACAAAGGAAGATGGGCAGAGCGAAATTTCATCCCACATTTTTGGCTGAAAAAAACCAAAATCATTTAAATAAACATTCATTTTAAAACAAAGTAAGCTTGTGTTCCTTAAATGAAATGAGACTAATGTTTTGAATCCTTTTCGGGCAATGTATCAACTGGCTGTTTCTCCACTAAGAGATAGTCCTTTCAGCATTATGAAGACTTTTGGAAAAGCGGGAGAGAAGACACTGTTCTTAAAACAAAATGATTGCATTTTTTGTTCTCCTCTTCCTTCATCTTTTTCCTTTTTCACAGGTCTTCTCACTGGCAGGACCTACATTTAGCCTCCCTTCCTCACACATTTTTGGAAGTCCCCTCACCTCTGGGCTGTCATTAAATCCATTGCTCAACCAATCTGAAAACAACAGAACAGGTACAGAAATTTTAAAAAGGGTTATATGCAAGCATGGATCTCTTTAGAAAATGGCCTTTCAAAAATCAAGTCTATTTACATATTTACTTCTTGTTCCTGCTTTTTAGAAAACCCTGAGATCTTTAGAGCTGGTTAGCTTTCCATATGTCAACGTAAAGGCAATTGGGGAGGGAAAGACAAGATTTATTCTGTATTCAGAAACACATTCTTTACAAAAGACAAGTTAACTCAGTGCAGCACACGGTAAACCATCTGATGTCCCCTAGATATTTTTTTTAAAAATACAGCTCAAAACTACTACAGTAGCCAAGCATCAGAAATATGACCTGAGGCTCCTAAGAAAGTTAATCTAGCAGGCCATGATCAAGTGCCAGGAAAATGAGACATGTTGCAGGGGGATCGTGATTGCACACGCCTGCCATCTGCTGGCACTTGAAACCAACAGCACCCCTTGAAAGGTTTTCAAGCAGCAAGCCTCTTAAGAGTTACACAATGAAACTGAGCTTTATAGGGAGAAGATTTCCATTTTAAAGAAGTATAGGCATAACAATAGTGTAAAATACTAATTACATAAATATTACCTATTCCTATGTAAATAAGATTTGGAAAGAGGGTGATATGGAGAAATAAGATTTGGGGAGAGACACTTTCTGAAGCCTTAATTTGATGGATTCAGTTTATGCAACCTTAGATTTTGTGGGACACAGAGTAAACACAATCAGGAAGCTCCTAAGGTCTGTTCCTTGACATTTGCCAACAGTTCACAGAATGTGATGGCCATATTAATCCTCTACATCATTGCTTGTTCAGCTACCCTTTCTAAACACATGTGACATAAGATGTCATTAGTCTTGTGTTTTTCCTCTGACAAGATGTACTGAAGGGATTAAAAAAAAAAAAGGCAGATGAATGATAGGGAGTGCTTGACCATACTGGCTGGAAATTATGGAAGTTAAAGTCCAATACATCTAGAGGGTACCAGATGTCTAAAAGTTTCTATAAATCTTTTGCAAGATTTTGCAAAAGGGGGAGGGGGTCCAATTGTAATATGAGTTGTAATTTAAAAAAATAACTCCTTGTGTTTATACTTCCAGAACCAGATTTGGAAGACTGCAATTTTGCCTGCCGAGGGTCATCACCCCAAGAAAGTCTTTCTTCCATGTAAGTTTATTTTACCAAAAGAATAATAAGAATATGGAAGGCAATAATGGAATGTCAAGGGTAGGATAAGATCAGAAAGAGGGCTGTTTCACCTGACAGACTAGAGAGCAGAGAAAACAATATCAGTTTACTTTTTTTAAAAAACTAGTTTTCCACATTTCTTCAAACCCTTATTTTGCCATCTGTCCATATGTCTTGGACTACAACTCCTATAATCCCCAGCCACTTGAATGTTCTTGTTTCTTTGCTATAGAAATTTGCCTGATTCTTGTTAGCTTAGAAGCTTTCTAAATTAAATGCTCTCCACCCAACCCAGAGTCAGTAAAAAGCAATGAGGAAGCACAAATCAAAGCATCTGCAGTTCCCATTACTAGTTCCTATCCTGCCTGTACTGTATTTGTTCCAAGTCATTCCTGAATGGTGTTGTGTCGATTTATGCATGTACCACTTGCTAGGTAAGTGAAGCAAGGTCATTCATTTTCTCCTCTGACTTCTGTTACCGCCACATGCCATCGTGTTCATCAGCCAGTAGGAAGAACCTCCATCGGTTAGATTCTGGTTTTCTCACTTGTATCTAAGCATGCTACAAATAACAATCTCTTTGTTCTTCCACATCCCCATGACATTGCCTTTCTCTTGTCCTCAGCCTATGACTGAGAGAGGCTAGAGACATTTTTAGCTATTGCAAATTAGTGCTTTCCCTCTTAAACCAGCAGCAATCCATAAGAATGTCAAGGTGAGTAAAAGATGATGTGTTTCCCCTACTATTTTGACAATGGCTTAATCAGCAGAGAATAGACAGATGCCCCTTTTTCCTGCAATTCTGAGACTATTTTTTTTCCTTCTATATTGGGAGCTTTTTGCAGTCCATCTACTAATTGGCAGCTGGGAGAGCAGTACAGTAAAGCAGGAAATCCTCCTCTCTCATATTTTATCAGACAGCCCTCCCAAATCATCAAATAGTTCACTTGTTTTGACTGCCAGTTTATTGCTCTTTCAAAACTCCACAAGGAAGCTGCTCTGAAAACAAGCCTGCTTAGACCAGAGATAAGCAAGGTGACTTAACTCTCTAGTCTTACTACACAATACTTCACCTCACCCCATCTAACCAATCAGCTTGGCAGGAAGCTTTTTCTTTTTTTAATGTATTAGATTTCAGCAAAGGAGAAAAGGCAAAAAGTCAAAAAAAAAAGGTGGGTTAGGAAAAGAGGGATTAAGGAAAAAGCAAAATCAGGAGTTCAAAGAGGAAAAGGAAAGCAGTACTTTATGCGGTATATGAATACTGTATAGGCATAAGCAAAATCAGAGCACCATATCTGATGGCAATCTAGAAGAGGAGCTGTAGAAGATACAAACATTGGAATTTTATGTTGCTGGTAATATGGATGGATAATATAACTTTAGCTCTGTTGTTCTCTAATCTGGTCTTCTATTCCTATCCCACATCCCATCTGGGCATCTCCCAAGTTAGTATATGTGAAACACATGGGAAGAACCAGGATAAAATAGCCCTATAGAGGACGGAGCATTCCCAATATGATTGTGTAACTAGGAGGCCTGTAAAATGGGAGAAGTGAAATGGATTAGCTGCTGTAGCCACCTGTCTTATTTCCTGAAGGAAATGACTAAAAATGATAAATTATAGGAAATATTAATAATTCCTCCTTTTCATTTTCACACAATCTCTCCTCTCCTGTCCTGTACCTTGGAGATGTATCAAAACAGGGGAAGATGATGGGTATGGAAGAAACCCAGAAAACAAATGCTAATAGAGAAAGCAAAGGCTAGGAGAGAAATGGCTGAGGCAGAATTTGTTCAGTGACTAGACAGAATAGTGCATGTGTCTGTCTCTAAACACCCCTAAAGTTATTACTGACCCGCTATCTGGGGCAGATAGTGAATAAGGAAACAAGCAAGCAAATAAATACTGGTACAGTTATTGACTACAAGGGGGAATATACTGCTACCACTCAGGTACAAGATTGGGATAATTAAATATATATTTATATAGTTAATGACAACTTAAGCAAGTCTTATTCATCAGTTGTAGATATGGTAACAGAGGCAAAGGAGGAAATTGGTGCAGTCAGATCATAACCATATCATTAAGTGCTGGGTTTAGTGGAATAGGGCCATAAAGATATGAGATACTAGTATGCTTAACACTTTTGTGGCTTGTTTACCAGGCTAGGTTCACATTGCTTTCTGTGTACCTAATAACATATGAACTGCAAGGATGGGGAGAAGATATTTCTGAATATTTAGGGGAACTTTGAATTATCTGCAGTTCAACAGAAAAGATTTCTGATTCTTAATTGTTTGAAATAAGCAAGTGCTTGATAAGTGCCTCACTCTTACTGCTCTTACTGCAATTATGCTGCTAGAATGAAGAACATTTGGCGGTAATCAGAGGTGGGTTTTCATTGAGATCTTCAATTCAGTTATGGTGTTCTTGGGTTTCAAATTCTTTGCATATAAAAGTTTGACTTTAGTTACATGTGGTACAGTGGTGGGTTGCTCCCGATTCTGTCCAGTTCTATAGAACCGGTAGTAAAACCGGTGGGAGGCTCCACCCACCCACCACAATGTCATCATGAGTGATATGCGCAGGAGCGTGCATGCTCCCGCTGCGAACCGGTAGTAAAGGTAAGTGGAATCCACCCCTGATGTGGTGACTCTGAAAGTTTTAGTTAAATCCAAAATGGCTATATGAACTTTTCCAAAAAAGATGTCTTTAGTTTTATTATTCTTGAATTCTTGGGTGTGGTTGTTTCTGTCTTTTCTGTATCACACATGCAAACACACACATACTTTCTTGTGGAAGAAGGGAGTGTCAGCTAAATTCATCTTGGTAGCTGGAATTATCTATATTTTATTACTTCTATGACCAGAAAATTTGCTATAGGAGAAGACAGAAGCATCTGGAGAATCATAGATATCAATTAATAGAAGAGACCAAATTTGTAGGTTTGTAGGCCTACAAACAGGCCTACAAACTAAATAAAGCAGCCAGGCAGCCTCAAGTACTCAATAATTAAGGATATTCTTGACAGGAGAACAGGAGATGGGTAGCTTTTTACTATGGCTGACAGTAACAAAATACCTGCAAAAACATGCAGAATCTACGTTATTCTCAGAATTTAGCTTTTCCGTGTCTCTGCCTTGGACCCCAACTTTTGTGGCCTTCCAAGCATAAAGCAGCTAGGACTAATAGCTATTATGAAACCAAGGAGTATGTTGATTATTAATGATGCTTTGTCCTGCACCGTAATAGGTCTCCCATCAGCAGCCTCCCTACTCTCTTTGACCAGACAGTATCAACTAGCAGTGGACAACTGGAAAATGTCCCCCAGGCCACACCAAACATTGAGCAGCTCCTGGAGAAACAGGGCAATGGAGAAGCTGGTGTCAATAGTGAGTTGTGGAAGGGGTCAATGGGTTAAGCCAAGGTTGTGCAGTTTTGTTGGTCTTTAGCACATTTTTTAAAATGATCTTTGAGGGCTGCAAAGGACGTGGTGGATCAACCTAAGAGTGTCATTAGATTGAGCAGAGATATGGGGGTTTTTTCTGTCCTTTGGAAGAAACTTTCAGAGGTTTTGCAGGGACTTTTAGCCTTCCCAAATTCCACCAAGACAGAAAAATAGGCCTAATGTTAGGGTATCTTAGAGAGGCTGGAGAATGAATTAGGCATCCTAAAACTCTGCAGGCAATCCCACCAACCCTTGAAAATTAAAAATTTTGATCCTGCTTATTCCAGGGTTGCTCTGAGTTCTGCAGAAGGGGTACTAGAAGGCTGCTTTTAACTTTCAGACCACAATTGTGCCCTTGTGGTTAAGGCTGAGGCGACCAAAGAGAGGCAAAGCCTTTGTCAAGTAAGCCTCTATAGTACCTTCCATTCATCTCTGCAATGGGGCAGCCTTCCCCACGACTGTTCCAGCACAAGGAAAATGGTAACTTGATACCATCCAGGAGCAGGCAGATGTGTCCTTAAAGGAAAGAGTTTAAGGTCATTCTTCCAAATATGAGTGTGAACATTAATAGGTTAAGTCCTTTCTGCCCTTTGGGATGTTTTCTACCAATCATAGGGAGGAAGAGACTCATTAATTAGTTTTACTACAATTTCCATCATTATGGATACTAGGTGGAGATCAGGGATTTATAGTTTAACCCCAATGGGAGGTTTGTGGTTGGGAGCTAGTAGAACAGAGAGGGACACTGGAAAGATGAATTCAAATCTTTCCACATCTATGGGATAAACTGTAGATGCTTTTCTCTGAATTCTTTTTTGAAATAGTAATTCTAAAGATGGGGGAAATCCTATGCTATATTTTTTCCCCCCAATGGACGCTTTTTGATTTCAGAATAAAAAAATCCAACATCATACTTTTTTCTAGATGCACCTTCTGGTCATGTGTTCAATCAATATATGGAAGAGGTCTAGAAGTGTAGCCCCAGGCTTCACCCATGTGCTCCATCTGTGTAGTAGTACTGTCTCTCTAATTTTCTTATCTTTCTTTCCATCCATCAAAGGAGTAGAGATTGCTACCATATATGGCACCACTGAGTCCATAATATGTTGACCAAACTCATCGATGGAATATAAGAAGGAATTTATACTGCCTTTACCAGCTTAGAAATTACTAATTGCATTAAGCTACTTCCTAACTGCTTAATCATTGTAGGGTGTTGAAAGCTAGAATAACCTGTAGCAACTGAGATACACTTAAGGTGCAGCTCTTTGGACCCTTTTCAATTAGTATGATTATAGTTTTTCAGACTTTTCATTTTATTTTACCCTTAAATATAAACACTGTACAGACAAGTACATGTAGTCAGGTTAATTAGACTGTAAAATATGTAAGTATCCCATAATATAATTTTCTTATGACTTAACATTACATTTGTTACACTTGCTTAGATTTAACATTACTAGAATACGTTATACTTTATTGGATTTTTCTTCTAAATTTTAGCAATGGAAAAACTTTGAGATAATGACATAGTAGGTATAATTAACAATTTTATATATAAACTTTGCTTACTAAAAAGAAGCCAGAAAAACATGTCTTAGCACATTAGGATGATTGAAGCCATGTTCTTTTTTACATACATTACAAAGAGAAATTCCTTGTGTGTCCAATCACACTTGGGCAATAAAGAATTCTGTTCTATTATAAAGGACTGGGACTTTGATTGGCAAATCATGCCGGTCATTTTGAAGCTAGTGGCTATTACTGCAGATGCTCAGTTCGTGACTATTTAATGACTGTAAAATAATGTTCTCGTAAATTCCATTTCATATGTACTGTATTTTAACAGTGTGTTAACATTGTTACCCTTCTCTTTTCCATTCTCAACTTTTTCTCTTTTCCTTCTCCCGCTTCTACTTCCTGTAGTTGTAGAGATGCTCAAGGCACTTCATTCACTACAGAAAGAAAATCAGCGCCTTCAGGAGCAGATCATGACTTTGGCAGCTAAAAAGGAGCGCCTGCAGCTTCTAAATGTTCAGCTCTCTGTTCCCTTCCAAATGGTGACCACCAGCAATGGCCCCTCAAGCCAGACCCAATACATCCTAGCGCCCAACAGTAAGCAAACCTAACTGTAGTAGCTTTTGATTCTTGAAAGAGGTGTCACTGCTAATATCTGAACATCATCAGACAAAACTTTCTGAGTCATTAGCACTAGGGATGGTTGGTGCCGGTTTCTTTTTTAAAATGTACTTTTACTATGTACTCTTTTCTAATGGGTTTGGTTTTAGAATTGTTTTGTTGTTGTTATGACTGCCATTTTGTGGATTGTATCCTCTGTTCTGAACTACTTTGCAACATAGGAAACTACAATAGATCATTAGCAAATACACTTTAAAAATGAAAAGTAAAACATGGTTCCAGGCAGAACCCTTCCCCCCCCTCTCCCGAGGAATAATATATTGTGACCAAGGGGAAAACCTTTTGAATTAGTGCAGTGCTGACTCCTTGCTGAAATGATGCTCTGAGAAGATGCACAGCAGCATAGTGGAATGTCCTTTTGATTCTTTCTCTTCCCCTCTAGCCTACAACAGTGACTCATTTAGTATCAGCAAGAGCTCCCCATGCAAGAATAGTTTTGGTATCGAGAACGCACTCTCCACTTCCTCTGAGGTAAGAAGCATCTCTTTTTCTGGTTTTCATTTTCACTTAGCAGACTATCATGGTTCACAGATTCTGAATGCCACTGAATGAGACTGTAAGACTGAAAAGTGTGTGTTACTGAAATACATGGGTACTGTATTTCAGGGATAAAATGCTCCCGGTTCGGACCAGATTACCCGATCCGGTAGCGGTGGCGGCGGGTGGTTCGGAGAACCAGTAGCAAAAATCCCTGTGCCCCACCCCCATGCTCAGCTGAGCAGCACAATCATCAGAGGCTTTTTTTTTAACTTTTAAAAGCATTTTTTCTACAATCACTTTGGCCGAAAAAATGCTTTTAAAAGTTAAAAAAAAAAACCTCTGATGATCTCACGGCTCAGCTGGGATCGTCGGAGACTTTTAAAAGCATTTTTTCTATAACCTCCTCGGCCAAGGAGGTTGTAGAAAAAATGCTTTTAAAAGAAAAAAAAGTCTCTGTCGATCAGGCAACTCAGCTGGGATCGTCAGACCCTTTTAAAAGCATATTTTTACCTCTTCTGCTGAAGAGGTTGTAGAAAAAATGCTTTTAAAAGTTAAAAAAAAAAGTTGGCCACGCCCACCCAGTCACATTACACCACCACCACCAAGCCACACCTACAGAACCGGTAGTAACAAATTTTACATTTCACCACTGAAATGTACATTATTTGCACATAAATTATCCACTTGAAATATCAGTGCATTATTCTCCCAGGTAATGTTCCATTGACTTTGCTCAGCTCAAACCCTAAAATATATTGGACAATTCTGATGCCAGAAGCTTGTTCCCACCTGTCATATTTCTCTTTAGTTTTACATCTGTGTTCTGGGCCTAAATTGCTAAGTCTTGAAGTACTGGTGCACTGTTCAAATGCCCAAAGATTTTTACCTTCTTTTTTTAAAAAAAAAACAAGGCTCTTAATTACTGTGCTGCAGGATACTTTGGTTTTGGTAATTTATTGGTGATGTTTACTCAAATTGGAACCAGGAAAACTTGGCTAAAAAATAAAAGTAGTTGTGATAGTAAAAAATTCAAGATAATTTTTGTAAAACTATGTACTTCCCATTCCTACACATATTCCATCCTGTAAAAATACAGAATGCCATTTTTTTGCTAGAGAGTTTGGAATATCTGTTTTTTAAAAAAATACGTAGAATTGCTGGAGATGATTCCTATTGCTTCATACTGATCCTCCTTCCTTCCTTCCTTCCTTCCTTCCTTCCTTCCTTCCTTCCTTCCTCCTTCCTTCCTTCCTTCCTTCCTTCTTCCTTCTTTCCTTCTTTCTTTCTTTCTTTCTTTCTTTCTTTCTTTCTTTCTTTCTTTCTTTCTTTCTTTCTTTCTTTCTTTCTCCTTCCAGGATCTTCATTCAGGATGCCCAAGCAGGAGCAGCTCTTCTCTGTCCTTCCACAGTACACCACCACCTCTGCCCTTGCTTCAGCAAAGCCCTGCCTCACTTCCTCTAACTACTGGGGTCCAACAGCAGCCACCAGTGAATGGCCTGAGCAGAGCCATGGGGACTGTTCATGGGGGAAGTGCCACAGCTACTCACAGCCTTGTGGATGGTCTCCTTGGCAGTCTGGCAGGAGGGCAACAGATCCCCATCAATGGCATCCTAGGAAGTTTAAATGGCACTTTGGCCACCCAGACCCAGAATCCAGTACTGGCACAAACCAGTGGTCACCCTGGTCTGCAGCTCTCCATGAGCCAAAGCAGGTAAGAAAGAGGGAAGACTACAAGAAAGAAGCCAAGTTTCTAGGACGCAGATTTTTAAGGACTTTTTTTTTTTTTTTGGCCCTAAATTTGAGTACCTGTTCCACTTTATTTTTATTTACTCCTGATATTTTTTTCACTGCCATAATGACATATTTCTAGGTGGTTTATAATCAAAATGTAGGAACCATAAGAACCACACATATTGTAATGACAGTCAAAAAGGCAGTAAATTTAAAATAATGCTGGCAGAGCAAGAAAAGTGTGAGCTTCGTCTTCAAACACCTGTTGGAAAAGTTGTGTTTTAAGTCCTTTCCAAACAGCAATTTAAAGAGAAGAGCCAATAAGATATCATGAGGAATATAATTTAAAGGGTCAAAAGAGCAGAGAGAAGCATTGCTCCCAGACCTCCATCCCCTTTTACCTCCCAAACTGAACAGTCAGGCCGGCCAGATTCAAATTGGAGGGTGTTATCTTGAAGCTTTACCCTTTGGGCTTTATAAGTCAAAGGCATCAATACCTTCGCAGCACCCATAAAATAGGCTTGACACTGCAATTAGCTTGTACCCATCAGCACGACGCCTGCTACATTTTTTTTCAACTTCAGTACCAGATAGGCTTGACAAGAGACCCGTTAAATCGATATAGAGAAAATGAGAGCAGGAGCATGACATCAGAGCTCCATGCAATGTTCCAAATTTTGCAATGTTCCAAAAAGCATTGCAACTGGGGGAATCAGCCAATTGGGCAAGGGCACCCCTGGATCACCAATTCCATCTGCTCATCTGGGTACAACCAAAAATCATTTCCAAATTGCAGAGCTGCTTTTTTAGGAACAGCGTAGAGGGAGAGCGTTCAATCACCAGATAGCTGCTGGACAAACAACCACTCGATCTTCTTGCGATTTATCCACAACTTGCTTTGTCCCATACAGACTTTTATAGCCCACCCAGACATTGAATAAACAGTTCCACAGCAGCTTGTACTTGGCTCTGAATGAGAAGTAGAACTGGTATCAGTAGCATATGGATGATACCTCACCCTAGTTCATAGATGATCTCTCCCAACTTCATGAAGGGATAAGAGTCAACCCCTATAGCATACTGTATAAAAGAGGATATAGGCTCGAATGTTGATTCCCTTGCCCATACATTGACCAATATTACCCAACCCAGAAGGTAGTAGAACTATTGTAAAACCATATTCTAGGCGGGTAGCATGGTCAGGGAGGTCAAAAGCGGCTGATCGATCAAACAGGACAAGGAGAGCAGTGTTAGCCAGTCTGCTTCACCTTTATCAGTGTTGGATATTTAGGGAAGGGTATACATGTATAAGCAAAGTATTTTTAAGTATTTGTAAAATGTAGCCCGAATCCTGTTATTATGGTTTCCAGTATGGCAAAGGACAATTTTAAAAAATAACAATAATATTAGTAGGAGATAATGCTTAAGTAAGCCAGGCCTGATAGCATTTGAGCAAGAGAAGCAGCAAGAGAAATAACTGAGCTTTCCAAGCCCCCAACGTCTTGATTCTGAAGTAGTGGAACTTAAGTGGTCTTCTGCAGCAGCGCTGCATTGCACAAACTGCCCGATTCTTTTTGTCTTCTTTCTTCCAGTATACCTAATGTGACTCACTTGTCAGAACAGCAGCGGCAGCTGCTCAGCCAGCCTGATCTTCAACTGCAGCAACTGCAGCAGCTCTTAACATCACAGCCACTCAACCCGGTAAGTAACATTTCATCAGACAACTGCTGAGGAAGAACTATTAGCTAAAACAGCAGGGCACCAATTCGAGGTATAGGTCAGGGGTCTGCAACCTTAAACACTCAAAGAGCCATTTGGACCCGTTTCCCACAGAAAAGAAAACACCGGGAGCCACAAAACCCATCCCATGCCTGCCTATTTCTTGAGTGGCCACAAAACTAGCATATGTAGTTGAATTAAACGTTCTGTTTTCTTCTGAAACTTTTCTTTTCTTGGATTTATCCATGGTTGGCCTACTGGGGGTTGAAAAGCTCAATAAATCGCATGCCAGCAAGTGTCGCAGACTGGCAGTTATGACGCATATTTTGAGTGACAGGGAGCCACAACAGAGGGGTGAAAGAGCCACATGTGGCTCCAGAGCTGCAGGTTGCTGACTCCCGGTATAGGATTTTCAAAAGAAGACAATGTTTTTAATTCCCTTGGTCCCTGGACTTTAGACAAAACCCAGTTTCCATGTTCAATATAATTTTCTTTCTTTCAAAGAATTTTCTTTTAAATACAGACCAGACGCTTTTTATCTCCTTGTAGCTGCCAGATGAAGATAGGGAGCAGATACTGTGAGAATATGTAACAAGAAACCATGGTTTTCTGATAAATGTCTACAGGAATAGATTTGAGCACCTGAAACCCAGACCAGCAGTAAAAGGCAGCAGTGAGCTAAAGGTTACTGAAGTGCTAATTCAAGGTCCCAAAGGTGCTTCTTTCAAAAGGCAACTAGACTTCCTTTTTTCTTTGAAGACATTTCACTTCCCATCCAAGAAGCTTCTTCAGCTCTGAGAAGCAAAACATCTTTAAAAAAAACCCAGAAAGTCCAGTTGCCTCTTGAAAAAAGCATCTTTGGGACAGCCATGACCTGGATGACTGAGAATCTCCATAGACATTTTGCTAATTCAGAGGTTTGCAGCCCAAATCCATCAGCCTATGAAAAACCAAAAATTAATCAAGCAATTACCTACCTCATCATCCAGATTTTTTTTTTAAGGCTTGAATATATTTTTATTGATAAACTATTTAATGCTTACAAATAATGTCTCATTTCAGACTCATTTCTTCTGCATTGTTTCAAAAGCACCTTCAGTATTTAGTACGATCAAAAAGAGAAAAAAACATACAGCACACAAGCAGGCAAAACAAACAAAAGCAGTTGTTTTCATACAAACACTCTTCAAAGGCATTGGGTCAATTTTTCTTTTCTAGATTTTTCTAGATTCCCCCCCCCCCCCACCCCTCCTTAAGAAAACCGCATAAGATACATATAATAAAAACAGCAGTGTTTGCCATGGGTATTTTTTTCTCTTCTAACTCTTCTGGTATAAGATGTGAGGCAGAGCTGCCACAATCTTTCTGCAGCTGATCATTTTCATTTGGTTCTTAGGAGCAGCAGACACTGATATTCCAGATGATTCAACAAATTCAGCACAAAAGAGAATTGCAGCGGCTCCAGATGACTGGTTCCTCCATGACTGGCCTTGGCCCAGTGACCACCACCTCCCTTCTCCACTCCAGCAATAATGCACCATCAGCTGCCAACAGTGCTCTCCTGGCCTCCATCTCCCCTCAACAGCTTAATACTGCCAGCTCACTGATGGCTTCCCCACCGCTCAGCACCCCTGGGAACAGCCTGATGTCAGCAGCAGGAACTGTTATTCCACCTGTCCTCACAGCCCAAACAAATCCTTTCCTCAACCTGCAGGGTGACAGCAGCAGCCAGAAAGGAATGGTGAGCATCTTATAAGAAGGCCAGAAGCAAGGTATTGCCTGCCAACAGCTGAGCTACTTTGGTGACATAGCATATTCATAAATACTTTAACTCTGAAAAAGACATTTTCTGGAATTAGGAACCCACTACTGGGTGGAAGTGATTTTCAGGGAAATCTGGTAGGGAATCTAACATGGCTATGGATCAGATTTGGATATATGATTTGGGCAGAATTCTAGTTAACGAAGTAAATGTTGGGAAACAAAGAAAAAGTTTTGAAAATACAGTGGAATGCATTCTGTCAAAGAATGGGTTAATGAGCAGACAGATGCAATGGGAAAGAGGCTGGACAAGGCTAAGTGGAGGATTCTGGAAATGAAAAATATATATATATATTTAGAAGGTACCTGGGATTAGAATCTCAGGATTGTTTCATATCTGTTTTTCTTCCTCCCGTTGTTGTTGTTTTTTTAATGTATTGTTTGGCATATCACCAATTTAGACAGTGCTGTTTTTGCCATTTTTTTTCCCTCTAGAGCATAAATGAAAAGGGAGGTGCCTCAGTGCAAGACAAAGGCTAACTTTTGGTGATACTGGGTTGCTTTCTCTGCCATAAGAAAACAGTCTCCTTGAACCTTGGATCCCAAAACGTAGAGCAACCATATGAAAGGCTTCCGAGAAAGTCTTCCTTGCCACAGTCACAGTGACACCAAGCGGAGGCATGCCAGACGTCTACGTTCCTCGGTTCTGAGCCTGTCATTTAGTGCCCTACTAAAAGAGACTGGTGGTGTGAACACCTCCTTTCCCTTGCTGGCTTGGTTTATTCTGCTGCACTTAAGTCATAAAACGTTGCACTTCAGATGGAAAAGATGAAGCAGTGTTTGCTATCCAAGAATATCCCCTCAAAGATGGGACATATGAGCTGGACACAACTACAATCACCTGGTGATTAATGTTATTTTTGCAGAGCATGTTATTTCCAAATCAGGATTAAGAAATCCATCAATATTTCCCTGTCAGAAGATCCAGCTACAGCAAATTAGGATCAGATGTTTCTGAGGTTTCCAATAAGTAAGAAGGAAGGGTTGGAAAAGTGGTATTTGGAAGTCCATGTTCATGAATCCTACACAAAGGGTTTCACTCCCATAGGTATTTCAGATGTCTACATCTTAACTGACTCCTGCTGAGGTACAGTTTTATCTGGGAACGAAAAGCTAGTCCTGATAACTGAGAACGGTTACCTTGGTTTCCCCAAATCTCTGCCAGCCACATGTCTTTTTTTTTTAAAAAAAAAAAAAACCTACCTGAAGGAAATGGCCTCATTTTTTCGTCTTTAACCAAGGGACTCATATTTCTGTCCTTCAGAAGTCTTTGCAGACAGTGTATGATTACAAATAATCCAGAGTCGATGCTCAGCTATTTCCAGCCACTCACAAAGAGTTTCTTGTTCTCTGTCACATCACCACTCAAAAGCCCAACACCAAAGAGGCAGAACAAAGGTTTTGTCTAATGGGAGGAGCTATTCCAACCATCTCCAAAATCAGCTGGTAAGAACATCTTTGCTGTGAAACAGATCTCACTCATATCTCATCTAAGGAGAATACAGGTCTTCCCATCACTGGAAGATCTATTTCCATCTCCATTTTGTAACCAGATGGTTTAGCAACAGTATAAATTTCCTTCTCCTTCCAGGGAGAGGGGAAAAATCAAGATTAGTTATTCTGAGTAAACCAGCGCAATTTTGTCTTTGTTGAATAAATCCAGATCTCTTAAAAAGAAAGATTATGGGTAATAGAATCACCTAGGGGCTTTCAAAGTTTTCCTGCTTCCATGAATATACAGTCATTTTAGGTTTATTCTTGCCACCTGCTACAATTTGCACTATTTTCAACCACTGGTGGTGAGCAATTACTTACAATCCCATAATAACCACTGTTGTATAAAATAAGGTTTGGGAGTTTTTTTTCCTAATGTTTGAACAAAGCAACAGTATCTACCAGATAGATGACTCTTAAAAAAATAAGACAACGAAGCAAACTTTTCATGAATTTTTTCTTTGATTTGTTTTGTTTTATTCAGACAGATACATTTAGCTCCAAGCTTTCAGCTTGTGTGTGCATAGTTACCCACAGTTTAAAGGTTTGTTTGCTTATTTTTATGAAGTTGTTTAATAGCTCCTATAAACTGTCAAAAACAGTAAATTTTCCAAATGACAACTGGGAAGTTTTCTTTCCAGTCATGGCAGCTTTGGCACAGGTTAAGGAGCAGATTGAACACTTGACTCACATTTCAGCTGAGAGTAAACATAGTTTTTTTTAATCAGAAAACTACGCTGTCTGAATACACTTACTCTTTAGATAGCCAACTCATCTTTAAAATGTATCCAGACCAGTGCATTCCAATTTTATTTTGTTCTTCATTACCATGTTTATAGTATTTTTTGGGTCCTTATTCGGCTGCCATAATACAGAATGGCTATGAGTTGTGATGGAAGTAATTTGAAGTGGAAGCTAAATCCAACTTTTGTTCCCCTTTTCAGGCAACTAATGGGCAATATCTCCAGAATTCTTATTGCAACCTGCAACTGCATTGCAGAAAATTGTTGTCCTATAACACCAGCAAAATTCATAATCCTATGACTTTTGTCTTCTTATCTTGGCGCGGGGGAAAAAGATCTTTACAACTACAGCTTCTCTGCTAGAATTGCAAACATGATTTTAAAAAAATTGCTATCAATAAATGCTTGATATAAAGTTGCACCGTAAGGAGTAGTAGAGCAAATTTATTATTAAAATATTTTGGAAAAGAGTTACTTAAATATACAAAAGAGTTAAAGAATTAGCTGAAAAAAAATGACCATTCTATCTAAAACATTGTGCGGGAAAATGCTTTTCTCTGCAATGAGAGCAAAACTAGACATTGCAAAAGAAAAGGAAGGTTTGACCCCATATTTTCATCGTAATAATAATTGTGGATTGGGAAAAGGCGTTTGGAGGAGAGAATTAAAATATGGGAAAGAACTGTTCCTGTGACACTGCACATTTGCTCATTCAAGGCTTGCATTCTAAAATCTGATATTACTGGTTTCTTTCTAGCCTATAAAACTTTTGCAGGGATATTTTTTTTCTCCTTTAAGCCTTTTTTCTGTTTGTATTGTGCTTTGAGCCACAAAATGGATAATCTGTATTCCTCCAAATATTGGTGAACTTTAATTCTCAGGAACCTTATTCAATATAATCAATTATGGACAATGCTGGGATCTGTGGTTCAGAGTCACCTGAAGAACCTTATGTTGAGGAATGACACAATTCTATACAACTCTCATTGCACAAGATCACATTGCATTGGCCATGTTTTGTGACTTTAAGTGCTTGGAAAGTGGGAGGTATCAAGCCCCAGTTGAGTTACATACAAAAGTTAAAAAAAGTTTTAACATCAGAAATATAGTTCATCTTTACATTTATATACCATGTTTCCTATGGAAACACAAGGTAAAATACATGAAAATCACCCTTTTCTTCACATAACAAAAGTATAAGATAGATTGGAATGAGCAATAGTGATCATGATCCGCTATTGCCATTGGTCTGAAATCATCCACTGAAGTGTATGGTGGAAGGAGAACTTGAACCTGAGTCTTCCTAGTCCTGTCCAACACCTGAACTATTAACCTACAATGACTGTATGAACTGAACTGAAAATCAATAAGAAATAGATAATTCAGTCTTTGGGCAGCAGGTAGGCTGAATTCAATTCATGATCCTGGTAGGCAATTCATCTGGCTAGAGATACATATTCATGTAGTTTAGTTTGTCCCACCTGATCTCTATAAACCAAAGTAGAGGGCATAGAGAAGAGCAGGAGGAAGAATCACAGCCAAGGCAATAATCAGACTGGCATATCTTGAATCCTTTACAACAAGTTAGTTTTGAGTTAATGTCTCAGTCCTTCCCTAGCATGAAGGTAAAGTAAGGGAGGGGAGAAGCATATACAGACTTGCAGGTTTCTGTAATTATAACTGTCACAATAAAAGTAGCCCTGTCCTATATGGCATTGGATTTACCTTGGTTGACATCCATGCAGTATCCATATTGAATTGTAAGTGGCAGAATCCATAGGACTCAATAATACTATTGCTTCTTGCAGTCAAGGCTATACATTCAGAAGCACAGTTAGGTATATTTAAGACATGTCTACACCCAAAAAATCAATTAGATGCTTTCTGAAAGCATCCTAAGAATATTCCATTTTTGGGGGGTTTCCAAATCTAAGATGCAAAACACCAGATCACTACTAGATGGGAGAAAAGTGTACATCTTTACTACCATATAGTGGTATCTGGCTGTTTGAAGCCTGAATCTGACAACCCTACTACTTCATGACCAGACAGATTCCTAGCATATTATATGGAAGAGAAAATAAGCAGCTGGTGCTTTGCGGTAATTTGAAAGGCTGAAAAGACCTCTCTTGGATAATGTAAGGAATAAGTGTTTTTACAAAGCTCCATTTCTCTTCCCACGGATATCAAATAGAGAACTCGGTACAGCAATTTTCTTCAGCAATAGAAACCTTGTGGAGCTGCATTAGACATTTTGGCTGTAAAGACATATTTACATTTGAGAAAAAAGTTATACTGTGCATCAAGGAAAAAGCCATCTGGAGGCTAGGCTGGCTTGTGGAACAGTCTGGAATACCACTTCCTTGCCTCTCCAGGAATACTGTATGTAACAAATAAAAATGCAAGTGCAATTCCAAAAAAGTCCCAAGCAAACACTAGTTCAGATAAACCTGAAAGTCTTTAAAACAGGATTGTTGGATGTGGAACAGTGCTTGCCTGTAACAGAATCGAATAGAACACCAGTCTTAATTTTAAGATTATAGAAATCAGTGTGCTCAGCAAATTTAGAATAAGACATAGAAATAGTCAGAAGATGATAACGGCAAATCACTTCTGTACTGTTGTCAAGTTACCAGGAATTGTGCTCAAAGGAGTCTTATTTTTATTGGATAAAGTTTGTTCATTAAGAGAACAAAACATACTAAGTTATTTTTTACAGTCCATTGTCTTCTTAACTATATGAATTGGAGCAGTGGTGGGTTCCAACCGGTGTTACCATTGCTTCTCTTCGCGCACGCGCTTTGCACGCAATCGCCGAGTGCATGATCACTTTGCTTGCACGCGTGCCGAAGTTGCGCTTTGCCCAAGCGCGTTAGATATCTGCCCAGCTAAGGTGCGGCAATCCACTCTGCTGCGCCTATCAGCTGAGCCAAAAACAGAGAAATAAAGATAGGAATAAAGTGGGGGCGAGCAGGAGGGCCCTTCTCCCAGTCAAAGAGAACCGATTTGGTGATGTCACACCGTCACCGCTACCAGCTCAGCCGAACCGGGCTGAACCGGGAGCAACCCACCACTGAATTGGAGGTATCTTCTAGTTTTCTTTCAGGTCGCTAGGGTTTTTTGTATCATACTTATCACTTCAAATGTTAACTTGAAATTGGTGTTTGATCCTAGAATCTAGCTTTGCTAATCACTTCTCTTAAAGGAACTAGCCTGGGAAGGTATGAAGGTTAAAGAGCCAACATGTTATACAGTATTGACTAAATTTGTGAAGAAAACCCACTGAGTTACTTGGAGCTAGTCTTTATCTCTCAATTTAATCTATTCCTGAGAAGTATTGCAAAAGAAAAAATAGGAGAAAATAATTCCACATTGGTACTCCCTGCTCCTGTAGCAGGCTATAAATTTAACAAGAAAAGAAGAAAAGAAGGCACATTCATCATACTTTGGCATCTCAAAAGCATTCTCCCTATTTTAAAGTATCAAAACCATCCTGATCTATTGTTCCTATCTTACCAGCAATCGTTTCTGCTTCTTTCTGGAATGTTAATTCCAGCCAAGAGGTCTATCAAGCCATTGCTGGAAATAGGACTCCAAACTTTATTGAAGACCCTGAGCAATTACTCTTAATCTCTCTCTCGTTCGCTCTTTCTCTCTCTCTCTCTCTCCTTCCCTCCCTCCCACCCTCTCTCTCTCTCCCTCCCTCACCCTCCCCTCCCCTCCCTCTTCCTCTCCCCTTCTATCCCCTAGTGTTTAATAGAATTTCTGGCAACAAACTCAACAAGTTCCTAGTGTATAGGGCTATATTTCCACTCTACAAATAGATGACCACTAGATGGCAACAAAGTTACAGAAAATGCTAACTTTTTGCTAGAGGTTGTTTGGCTTTATAGGTTGATTAATATGTTGAGGTAAGAAGTACTTTTTTTTTTTTGGTTGA